CGTCCTTCCTCAGTAAAATCAGAGTGGTGGAGGACGAAGACTACAAAACTTATCAGTCGGGCACAAGCGCTTATCAGGTATTGAAAATTCAGGAATGAAAATTCTGAAGTGAGAGTTTTGGGCAGTCTGAAAATCCTGAATGGTCCTAAAGTGGTGAAAGGTCCGAAGACCCTGAAAACCACCTGTTTAGGCAGGCTGCATCCTGAAGTGGTGAAGGGTATCCTGAAGTGGTCAAGTGAGAGTTTTGGGTAGTCTGAATTGACTCTGAAAATCCTGAATGGTCCTGAAGTGGTGAAAGGTCCGAAGACCATGAAAACAACCCTTCACCACTTGAGGATGCAGCCCGCCTAAACAGGTGGTTTTCAGGGTCTTCGGAGTTTTCACCACTTCAGGACTATTCAGGATTTTCAGACGTGAATGGTCCTGAAGTGGTGAAAGGTCCGAAGACCCTGAAAACCACCTGTTTAGGCAGGCTGCATCCTGAAGTGGTGAAGGGTGTCCTGAAGTGGTGATGAAAAATACGACTGTTGTTAACCTTCTCTCGGGACGCAGAAGCGTACCAATATCCTAGACTACTCAACTAGTTTCGACTATAAACTTAGACGTAATCCGGTGAACACAGAGCTCATCTTGTCCCAGTGTTGGGAGAAATATATTACGGGGTGCCTTGGCAACACGGAGAAGCTTGACTGGCAGGTCCCCCTCGCCATCAGAAATACTCGTATAAGAAGCATGCAATGGCTTATATACTATCAGGCCTTGTCGGTCAACACATGGGTCAACAGGAGAATGTTGGGAACTGGTAGGAGAGATTTCAACGATAGCTGCGCAGTCTGCGATGATGGATCCCTCGAGGACGTGCTACACTGTCTGATAAACTGTCCTAATGCACAAAGAATTTGGAGCAGAACGCGAGCGTATTGGTTGGAGCTAGTCGGCGCATCGCTACCGGACAGCCTACTGACACTCCTGACGGGTTTGGCACAACCAAGTTTCAGAGAAGTCTGACATTCAACCCTCTTCAGAAGACTTCGTCCTTTTACATTGTGGATAATACGGAAGGCTCGATGCAAACAAACGATAGCACGCCAAAATAAATCGACCCTGGAGGCCTGGGAAAATGTTCTTCAACTTCTACACACGGAATACCAGGCAGATTGGCGCCGAGCAAACAAGAATATCAAGGGCGAGCCCACAAAAAAGCAAATAATCATAGACAAATTCATCAAGGACAGGCTCCGAACGGGCAAACTCGACACAGTACAAGGTGACCCCCCGCGATTGTTATGGAAAAGGACGAAGGAACAACAAGGGAGAGACAAAACCACGGTCCTTGCCTCGTTGGAAATGGCACAATCACAAAACAGTTCAGCAAACATAAATTCAGCTTAGTGGACTTACAGGACTATGGTTTCATGTAAAAAGGGACTTGGTCTCCACGTCAGGGGGGACAGTAGGGTTTAGGGTCTTAGAAGAGCGGACAGAGAGGAAGAAAGTTTTGGGGTTCAGAGCGGAGGAATAGCACAGGTCTTATCTCTTGGACTAGGAACTGGTAAATCAAGTCATCATTATAACCGAGGGTCTAGGGTTTAGGACTTGTACAGAAGCTAGGCAAATAGGGTTTAGATTTGAAACCTTTCAAGGGAATCATACGCGTCCCAGAACACTCTGGTAAAACACACCTACCCGACAGCAGAACTGGGATTAGGTGGTTTGGCAAACTGAGATAGTACAGGCTAACTTAGGCAGCGCCGCAGGGGTAAGGGATGGTACATCATTCCTCAGGGAAGTATTCAACGCCATCCACTCGGGCCTCCCAGCCATAATTGGGGGGAGCGTGCATGTGTTTCTTATGTATCTCCTATTGACTTGCTGGGGGAAAGGAACCGGACTGCTGCTCCCCAGAATGGTAGGAGCCAGAACCATGAGGTTCTGTTATTAAAAAAAACAAAAAAAAAACAAAAAAAAAAAAACACGCACCTACTCTTCGATTCCTGAGTCCACTAGCAGACATCGTGACACCAGATGAAGACACGGCGTCATCACCTTTTTGTCCGCGCAGTCTCCAGGCACACTCTCCAAATTCGAGGTCCTAAGGCGAGTTCCTCAAAGGTCTATCCGCGTAACGAATTTTGCAGGCTGGGCACTCTCGGCCCACGGAGAGTGCCTATGGTGGATTCTGACTGGTATCCGAGGGTTTTTGGGTGATGGTATTGGATAGTTGGTGCAGCCATGAAAAACTCTCCAAAATCGGAGAGTGGAAAGTAGTGCAGCAAGACCCATATTCTACAAAGGGGCGGGGGGGGCGGGGGGGATCGGGGGGKGGAATCAACACAGCTGCCATCAGGAAGCAATGTTTCATTGGCGCATGAGCCAAAGCACTTAGGGCATCTGCAGATGTATCTGACTGCATTTATGGCTGACTGTGGATGTATCTGAGCGCAATATGTGCCGAGCGGAGTCAGAAACGTCGTGAGTATCCACTCAGCGCAGACTCACACCAGGACTTTCCTGGCTGTACACCACCGCTTTTCCGCCCTGGCCTAGATGCACCTGACCGTAATGACGTAGCGATCTTGGTGTGAGTGGCCTCCAGACATACCGACGTTTTTTTTGGGGGGGGAAGCAGTCTCGGAGTATCTTCATTTCACTGACTTGGCTCAAACCAATATAGAGTCAGGGCATACTCACACTGGCGCTTCAGATGTAGATGCTATGCCTGATTGAAACAGCAAACACAGTTAGTGTACAGTCCCACTGGGATACTGCGATTTATTGCATAGATGCATGTGGCTGTAATCAGGTCCAGAGGTAAGTCGAGAAAGTCCTAGTGTGAGTATCCCCCTATTTTCTTCATCTGACCAGCGTGCGATCCGAACACGAGTCTGTTTACCAACAGTTACGCATATATGTATAGCCACAGAGGGGCAGGCGTACTGGGCTCAGTAGGAAAGAAGTCCTGGTGTGACTGTGCCCCCGCCAGTGGGGTACCCACAGGAAAAAAGACATCTCAGGTCACACTCACACTGGAACCGCCCTAAATGTGGGCCTCGCCACACCACTCTTGAAACCGAATTTTCAAGAGTCCAACACGCCGCCACACAACCTATTGAAAGTTTTATGCCAGAAACTTTTTCAAAAGCTGTCAGAAACGCGTCTCAAGAGTCGCTCTTGAAGAAACGAAACCCCCAGCCTGCAACACCAGTCCTTTCAAACGTCCTCGCGAGAAGTGCCCCTTGTTTTTCGAGAGCTGTCAGATCGTTACCCTGACACGGTGGTCGGATCGGTGGCCCATTTTCAAGAGTCCACTTGTGAAGAGGTCAACATTGTGCAGACATCTGTGGGCCCGTTCCAATCTTCAAGAGCAGGCCGTTCCCGCCACACAGCACTCTTGAGAAACTGCAGACCAGCGCGCCCATTTTCAAGAGTCCAGTTTTCGAGAGTGCTGTGAGGCGAAGGGCCCTAAACTCTCGAAACCCTGGCTCTTGAAAATTCTGACAACTCTTGAAACAATTTCGCATTTCAAAAGTGAAACAATTTCGCGTTTCAAGAGTGGTGTGGCGAGGCCCTGTATCTGACTGCAATTACGGCCATACCTGGATGAATCTGACAGCAGTCAGGTGCTGAGCTTCGTAAAAGAAGTAGGGGAGTGAATATGCCCTTTGAGTTGTTGTTGTTTTGTTTTTTTGTCCTTTGTTTTTTTGTCCTTTTCCCTCCCCGCTGTCCTCTCGGGGTCATGATGGCACCTGCGGCCACATAATGCTGCTCAGCCCACATAGCACCGCACACGCATCATTTTCACACTTCCTGCCCATGAAGGAGCACGCCCGGCCCGCTCGAGTCACATTATACCACCCTGCGGGGGGAAGAGAAGAGCACAGCAGGGGGAGGAGGGGCGGGGGGATGAATGGAGCACACGAGCACAAACTGGCCTGCGAGAAAGGGTGTTGGCACCGTACGGTCCACACAATATAGCCTGTTCCACATGGGGCAGCCCAGTCCGATCCTTCCGTGTATAGGTGGTAGGATTGGACCTGGGTCCACTTGTAGTTTCTGAAAAGCACTTCCCCAGGTGACAGTATCAAAATTCCTTGAACATTGAAGAGTTTGTGCACAAGTTTGGGCGTCAACAGGTGGCCATACACTTTTCATGTGTAAGAAATCACAGCACTGTGCACCACTGAACTATTGGTGATCAGAGCATGATCATCACACTGCTTCTGGCCAGTGTAAGATCACACTGCAACAAGAGGGCTGCCTGTGGCTTTGGCAGTGCGAGCCTGCGCCTGGGCATACCAGAAACAGCCTGGACCAACCATTACACTTTCTGCTGCCTAAGCAAAGCTGTGACGCCGTGTTGCAAGAGTATCGTTTGGGCATAAAGCGTGAAGCAGTATCTCACAAGGCAGTCATGCTGCTGCTCTGCCCACAGGATGAAGTTAGGCGGAGCTCGCCGAGCGGTGGAGCTCGAGGGTGGAGAAGAAGACCTCCCTGGCTATAGAGCAAGAATAGTAGGAGGGAGTAGGCCTTGACTATGGAGGTTGCCATGCTCGAACACAGCTACCCGGCTGCTACACCCTGATCATCAATGTATACAAGCTATCTTTCCAACCTAATGCACGCATGATGAGTGTGCATTGTGCTAGTGGTAGCTTGTAGTCAATTTGGCATAGTGTCCCTGGAATGGATGAATGTTTTCTTTCTTTCACTACACAGCCGAAGAACACGGTTCACTCTTCAAGCCAATAACCACACAGATCATTGGACTGTCGACACTACACTTTGCATTGTTTGAAATCTTCACACTTCAAGCCAATAATCCACAGTGCCAATGTGATATCATCGTGGAGATTGGTCTCGTTAGAGGATGAGAGAAAAGACTGAAGTGATATGCCTGATTAATCTGAATAAAACAGAGATTGGGATACTGGTTTGATTCCTGGCTGGTTTGGGATGAAATGTGACAGGGAATGAGACAGTATGCTACACATAGAACTTACCGGTTATCATCTCTGGCATCCATGTGGTCCCGGATAGTTCCTAGGTCAATTGGTCGCTTGATTACGTCAAAGTAATCATGAAGGCCAAGTTCTTCAACGTCCACTGGCTTCAGGAAAGGCCATGCCCACTTATGATGCATAAGCTGCACAAGTAAACCACACCGAAGTCGCACTTTGTCATAAGATCGGGTAATTTCAGTTCCGTAACCTGGTGAAATGGTTCATTCTTCTAACCGGCAAGCACATAATTGTATTTCCAGATGCATGACTGGGACTTCGTCACGTGGGAGACCACCAAACCAACCTAGACCAATTCACCTGACTAAGCAGGTTCATACTCATGTTTTTGTCTCACCTGGTCTTTGGTTAGATTTCCGTTGCCACTGCCAGCAGCTACTATCCAAGCTCAGACACCATCCAACACACACCGATGCTATCCTAAATTTCCTAATGGATTAAAGTTACCCATCGATCTAAATCCACACACTTGTCCTAGACCTCGTCTCACTCTGCGAGAAGATCATCTGTACTGAATACTGGTCACCTGCTTGCCAAGGAAGCCTCTACAAGTATTCACTGCTAAGTGTTCAGTCAAAACTCCAGATCTGATTTCCCATCTGCTTCCTTCCCTTCTTCCTCTTCATTTGTAATGACCTGTAAAATCACAGACTGAGAACTCTGCTGTTTTCTGAGTTTTGCCACTGGACTACGCGACTTGCTGAGATTCCCGCATTCTGCTGAGATTTCTAAGTACGCGAGTGCACATGATTGCCGAGTTTCCGTGTGTTTGTCTGATTGCAGTATTGCTTGGGTGTGCGTGCAACCCGCCAAGGTACTTGTATGCCCTAGAGGCCCTCGGGGCTGGTACTTACCTGTGGACGTGCTTTTGTGGGTTGCAGCACGAACTTAGTAGGCTAGGCCCGCGTAGGATGGAAAACACTCCAAGTAGTGGGCAGGTAGGCAGAAGAAGACAAAAAGTTAGTACCTTTAGAGGCCGATGGAATTTTAGGGGTACCCGTCTAGTAGTCTGAGTCTAGGGCCTGTAGCGAGGGATATCAGACGGCAATGATGTTTTTTCCCTCCGAAAAGGGGGAAGGTACCCGTAGCTTGGGAGGCCGAGCAGCCTGGAAAGTCACCGCCCGAAGTGGCAGTAGACCGGTATATTTTGGAGGAGAGTGAAGATCTCCTCCTAATTTTGCGTCGAGCAAGTTTGGCGACCAGCCGATGGAGCGAGCGCTCAGCTTGGAGGAGCGCTGGGAAGGAAGAAGGCTGGCTTGCCCGTCCACCGCAGCTATGGTGGAGAGGACCAAGGAGCAGGCTCTGGGAAAGGAGTAGGAGGAGGAAGTCGGTGAGCAAAGAGGAGAGTGGCGGGGGTGCTTACCTGGCTATGGTGGTCTGCATCTTCATCTTCTTGGTTGGCGCTGCACCTGGAAGGCCCCATTTGGGGTTGGTTTCTTCAAGGAAGACTTCGAGGTAGTGTTAGGCATGGCCGCCTTAGTAGGAGGGACACATTCACATTGTTTTTGCGTTGTCCCTCAAGCCTTGCTCCGTTAGTCCGCCATAGCCACCTACTTGACTAAGGACGAGGAGGGTGTATGAGATGGCTATGGTGGACCTCGTGAGTGGCTGGCAGTAAGGAGGAAATTCGGACATCTTTGATTGTTATTAATACTTATTATTATTATTATATTATTATTGTTATTATTATTATTATTATTATTATTATTCTCATGAAGAAGTTGGGGGAGCTGAAAGAGGTTGGAGATGGTAGCGAGTTAGAGAGGGATTTGACATTGATGATTGGTCTTTGCGGTGTACATTTTCTTCTTCTTCCATTCTCAATTCTTCATCTTCCTTTGTCTATTTCTCTTTTCAAGTTCTTCCATTTCAGTTGTAATTGAACGGCATTGTCTTTCTTAGAGTTATTGCACTTCAAGATAGCCAGGATCATAACACCTTAACCTTAGCCCTCGTCCATTCGTTGCTTTCATTCCTTCCATTGCCTGTCGTCCTTCCACTCCGACCTTCTATTCCCTGCCTTCTGGCCTTGCTTCCCTGCCATCAAACTGCACTCGCTTGCTTGCATTCCTTCATCCCATTTCTTCCCTTGTTTCCTTGTTTCCTTAGTACCTTGCTTTCCGTCCTTTTCTTGCACTCCTTTTCATTCCTTCATTTTATTCCTCCAAGTCCTTCCATTGTTCTTTTCTTCCTTCCTCCCCTTCTTCTTTCTTTTAAATAAAGAAAAGAAAGAAAAGAAACAGGACCTTATAGGGCCGGAGGCCTAGATCAGTTGGTAGAGCACATGAGTGGCATTCAGGAGGCCGTGGGTTCAATTCCCAGTGTCGTCCATTCGATTCCCCATGGGCCCCTGAGGCATGCTCTGGGTTCACCAGCTGAGAAAGACAGCTTTCTCCCCCTGGTTGGTCTTGGCAGGGGACCCTTTGACCCGGCCAACCCTAGTCAGGGGTTAGGAATGCAGCGGTGCTTGGGCACGGGAGGAGGTCGGTGCCAACCCATAACTCTTACGACACTCCAGCTTAGGTCCATAGATTTGGCACGCTCCGATAACAAATGATGGAAACTGGATGTAGTTAGGAGGTTAGGTCGTGGGAGGTATATGACAGAAGAATACAGCACAGTTAAAAAAAAAAGGAACAGGACCTTATGGGCCTGACTCTGTTCCATTCTGGCGAGCACCACTCCGATTCCTCTTCCACCGGCAAGTCAGAAATCACACTGTCGCCACCCTTGACACTTCCCCACGCTACGGCCCTGACAACATTGATTAATTCCTTTGGAAGAATTAACTGCCAGTCAAGCCCATACTTTTGACGAGGAGCCCCGCCCCTTGTCCACTTCGATCTCTCAGGTTTTCTTCCGAAAACCAGTCCAAACCATCCCTCTCAGCCTGCTACTGTGGACTGCCAATACCCTGCGTTCATCTTTAGAATGGATTGAACTGCTTCCTCCCGTCCTTATTCCTCCTTCACATTGCTTTTTTTCTTCCTTCCTTTCCTTCTCTACGTTCCATTTCCTCCATGCCTTTCATTGTTTGTATCATTTGTGGCCTTCTTTACATCCATCCACTCCAGTTTGCCTTCTTTTGATTACTTTCAACCACTCTAATCCCGCTCTAACTTCTAAAGCCATCCATGTCAATTCACTTACGCATTCATCCCCATCCATCCCGACCCATCCCTTCTGATGCATGCCCAGAGTAAGATGCCACCAATGCATGAGGAAGAGATACAATGTCATGCAGATGTTCAGGGAGACAGAACAGCAAGCAACTGTACACATTCGGAGGGAGGAAAACTCAGGAGATAAGCAAAAACACTTGTTTATTCTCCAAAACACTGAGTCATATTTGATGTGCATGTCCTCGACGCATTTCAATCTGGGCGCATTCCAGATCTCTTCAGGAGGGTCCAACCACCACCACTATGAAGGTACACAATGCCTCGTACAAGAATGCTATTTTGTCATCCAATCGCCTCTCCTTCTCTCTTACCCTCACACCCTTTCTTTCTCCTGATCACAAGGCAACCTGGACGACAATCATTTCCCTGCTGAAAGAAACTCGCCTTCGGGGCTACCCCCTAGAGGTCTCGCTCAGCTCCTTTGCGAGGTTCGCCAGGGTGGTTGGACGTCACATGAGATCTTCGATCTCACAAGTGTACCCCCACCCACGAGCACTACAGGGACCAGATACGTTTGTGGGTTTCACGGTCGGTTGAAACCGTTCTAGTCGACCGACATCCACCTTGTATTTAGGAGATCAGCGCCCTAGGTGACAAGCGACGTTCGGGTTCAGACGACGTTTTGATCAAGCGTACCTATACTGCAGCGAACGAGCAAACATCCTCGGCTGATCTACCTCTGCGACTGCACCTAACCCTCCTAAATTTTCGGAGAGGCTCAAAACAGGTTCTCCAATTGCCTGGGGGCATGTACTGGTGGTTTAAGACTGTAAATTGTCCCAAATGCAGCTATAATGCCCGTATGTTATATTCGGGCGAAGATGGTAGCTTACAGTATCTCAAAATCGAACAAACAAGACGCTAGCTAACATTATCTTAAAATTGGACAAACAAGTCGTAGATGAATCGACGTGTGGCGGATCAAGTGACAGAGTTCCAACACAAATGGGCACGGCGATTGAAGAGCCTTTTTAACAACAGGATCGAAATAACCACTGCCACTTCGGCTCATACTACACAAATCTAGGTGCCCAGGCAAAGCAGAAACAAGACGGCCCCCTACACCTGTCAAGCAACACAACTCGGAGACATCCGCTGAAACTCATCTTCGTCTGACCAGTCTCCCGTCATTTCAGTCAACCAACCAATACCCTCCTCTGTTCCGCAACGATCGATCATTTCCACATTTTGAAGGACGTTCATCTGAAAGACTGAAACTCAGCAGCGTACTTTTCATAGCTTTTCATGCTTGTGCACGCAGCACACAAACAAGCAATAAAACTTGGGTGGTTTTCTCAAAATTTTCTTGAAATTTCAACAAAATTCTTCGAGTTTCCTAGCTTAAAATTCCCTGATGAGCCGAACTCGCCCTTTAGCTGCGAAACAACGTAGATTTCCAACTGACAGGTGCGAGCATGGATTTCCAACGTGATTTTGCTTTCTGCGCTTGTTGCTCTTAGGACCATCTCTGTCCACCTCCTTAGCTGCTAACCGTGTGTGCCTGTATTCTACTTCAGAAGCAGACAGTCTCCACCTTCCAGCGTAGAAAGATGCTAGCTACATAAGCGCATGGGTCAGGATCTCGGCAGATGCATGACGGCGAAATATATGAATCATTCGAGAAGTGCGCTACTGGCCAATGGACGCTGGGCTACAGCATCAAGACAAGTGCTTGGAACAACTGTGAATGAAGCAGCATATAACTCATTGAGATAAACAGGACTATCATCTGGCGGCTCTACCTCAAAGAAGCAGAGTCAGAACATGACGGCACAGGGGACGAGAACATCTCGGAGCCCAAAAGCTAGCAATTGCTATGAAACTGGGAACCGATGAGCAGGTCGATGATGCCATTCACTGGGTACGAGAGCCTGTTGCCTTGATAGATAGGAGAAAGGGTGCGAAGGTAAGAGAGAAGGAGAGACGATTGGATGACGGAACCA